ATCATTTACATTTTACATTTAAGCGATGCAAAATATGAGCAAGTTGCTGCTCCACAGTTGAGATTCTCGAGAGGAAGAGGCCGACCGAGTGATCAATTTAGAGAGAGAAAAAAAAACTTTTGTAAAGGTGCGAATTCCTGGGATATCAGGTCAAGGCTCTGGGAGAAATAGCGCAAATGATGTGATATGACCTATCGGTACGCGAGTTCACTCGCGAAAAATTTTATTTTACTTGAGGAACTACCACGAGGGAAGAATACAAAAAATGTGACGACTTTCATAATAACTGTATTTCACAATTATTTTTTTTCAACTGAGCGTGAAAGCAAAATTGCGTACAGTGTTGGCAGATTGGAGCAATTTTGAACTAAATAATTTGGAATTCAAAGAATTAACGAATTAAGGAATTAGACATCTAGAGGAAAACACTGCCGATAAAATTAACGGCATCAACGATGTGAACATTTACAAGTGAAAATGAATATTTACAGTGAGTCAAACAAGATTTTAGCGTATTGAGCCACGCTTTCTCAAGAAATTTTATGTTGGAAAAGGGATTGAACTGTTTGAGCCCATTTTTTCCAATAATTTTTTTCAGTGAAAGGGTCATAAAAAGAAAAATATGATTTTCTGATATGTTTTACGTGTTACAACTACGCGATTGGTAGAAAAAGTCATCCGCCAAAAATGTTCCGCCGCAAACACTTTATCATAAAATTTGAAAACATTTTCAAAATAGTGTCAACTCGGTTGCAGTAACATAGAAAGGACGGACCCGATACAACAAAAGTTAATTTTTCCATCATATAAATGTCGAATTGAACTTCAAAGCTTTTCTAAACGGCGCGAGTGGCGGATTATGCATTTTTAATCCATTTATATCCACACTCAATAATTATAAAACTATTAACAGTTCATTGAATATGGAGAGGCTTTTAAATAAATGGAATAGAATTAACTCATATCTGATTTACTCTTCAGTCCGCGGATTTGTGAACACTCGAATTTCAAGTGTCAAGTGCAGGTATAAATTGAGAGAGATATAAAATCGCACAGTTGCCATAATTTTGGGGCGAAATATATGAGGACGGAAGTCTAGTCATAATTTTAACACCATCGTAAAGCAGCCGACAAGGTTCAGATGAATTCAATTACTACCTTATTACACCCCTGAAACGATTTTCAACTAGAAATATTTTAAAAATTACAACTAGAAATATTTTAAAAATTATGAAACTAGGAATTTGTATGGAATAATGATGATGGTGGGGGTACGGAATGGGGGGCATAGCCGATACCACCTCTTTCCACCTGCTCTTAATTTCCCAATAAATTTGAGAAAATTCGGAAACAGTGAAAGATTTTTATTTTTAGTACGGGTCTGAAGCAAGGCTTGGTTATATACCCCTGGCTCAAAATATGGGCACATGCATGATTCTCAGAGAAAACTGTACCTTTTCGTCTTCGAGGTGAATCCGAACTTTTAATGCTAAAAACCGGTAAAAATGGACAGAGGTTAATCATTTTTTAATGTTTACATCGTAATTTTATGTTTACAGAGATGCTCAAAATCAAGTCGCAACCTATCGTTAGTAAAAAGTACCATGACAATTTCTAATAATAGTGTCTACTTGTTAAATGTTGACAAAAAAATTAAAGACTGGCAACCTCGATTACAATTTAATCTTCTAGTAGCTTCTCGTTGGGCTTCGAAGGTTCTTCCTAAAATCTGTTAAAATCGACATAAATAAATAACTTAAGTGCCTTTGACAACAGATGACGCTTGAGTGCTTGTGCAAATATTCGGCTAAAGCACGAGAAATGAAGAAAAAAAAACCCTCCGTGCTGCTTCTTTTACCCGATAGAGGCAGAAGCGCAGGTCAGGTTAGGCTGGCAAAGAATTCGAAAAGATTATCTGGACTGGACGAGTGGCTGTCATTTTAAATATGCTGAATGGCAATGTCAACAAGATAGCAGGAACTACATACTTGTGTACGCACCTATTCATACAAGAATTGTTTCTTCAAATTTCAGGTTAATTACATAATGCTCCCTCCCGCCCCCTCTATCCCTCATCTTACTCGATGGCCGCTATTCTCTCTCTTTCTGATGAATGGTGCACCACATAAATCACGGTTACGTCACTGCTACAATTAAAACAGCTGTAAATGAGAAGATTCTCCGAACCCTTCTCATATTCCAATGAGTGGAAAGTTTCTGCACATTATTTAGCAATAATACATTTTTTTTTCTCTTATTTATTACCAAAAATAACGTCGAGCAAAATTTTTGGTCACCAGTGCGTCGTCCATTAATGTGACTGTCAGTGTTCGAAACTCACCTTTGAGTTTTAGGAGCCATGCGGCGCATAAAGCCCGATTTTTAGGCGCCATTGGAGATTTTTTAGGGGCCAAAATGACTTTTTGCCTATACGTTACGGCGCATTTAGTGAAAAGTTAGACAAAAGATTTTTTTCGGAACAGAACTAGTAAGTAGCTGTAACTTGGGGAAAAATGCACTAAGAATGAAATCGTGAAGAATAGAAAAATCTTTCACTTGTAGTGCTGAAAATTCCGAGTTTTTTTTTTTTAATTCAAATAGATTTGTTTTTCTTTCTTCCTATGAAAATCCAGATTTTTCGAGGGCAATTTTTAGCGGCCACGTTGGTGTAGAGCCCTCATTTTTTAGGCGCCATGGTCAATTTTTTAGGCGCATTTGGCGCGTTGGCGCCTGTGAGTTTCGAACACTGGTGAGTGTACAAAACGTCGCGTTGGAATTGTTTCTTGTAAGAATAAAGTTTTGTTTTACTCATAACTGAGTATTGCAAAACGAGCAATGCATTTAAACGTCATTGCCGAGCACATAAATAAAGCCCCTTTTCCCCGCATGTCAAATGCTCTCAAAGCTCGCTCCATCATTCGGTCATAATACAGTCATTATAATCATAAATATATGATCAGTGTTGACTTCTTTGCGCTCATTAGGATGCTCATTGCTTGGTTGCGGGACAAAGCGTCGCTCCTGTGACGTAAGGTCGTATCTCGATTTCCGCATGAGCCCCAGAAAGCATGGATTTATATGTGAAACAAGGCTTATTTGCAAATTCAGATACGCCCTTACGTCAGAGGGACGACGAAAGGACCGCAGGAAAGCCGTCATGAAATATGAGCGCGACTGCAATGATTTCATAAATACGTAACTTAATAAGATATGCTCACACATGTAAGAATAATTGGAGTAATAAAGTTTTTCACACTTAGTGGAACGTAGAAAATGAGCAATAAGGGTATACACGTGTAAGCACGGTAGCACCAGCGAGCGGGAATGCAACTTCGTTCTCGGGAGTTTGAATTATTCAGATGGGCAACTTGTAACTTGTAAAACTAATAGTGGGGCTTTGCTTGAAACCAGTATGATAGGTATATTTATGGGCATTGGTAGGTACAATTGGTACACTGTTAAAAATCAATGATTTACTCTGAGTGAATAGCCGGCGTGAAAAAAAAATCCAGCGCGAATTTTTTTCCTGCGCGAAAAATTTTCCCTCCAATTTTCAAATAATTTTCTCGGCAATTTCACCCAAAGCTCCTGAAAATTTCAAGGAAAATTATTCATACCTTTCTTCAAAAATAACTATTTTCTGAGAAGAAATTTGGCAACTCTCGAATGTTCATACGGCGTTCCAGGGCCGGATTAAGGGGGTGGTCACATGGGCCGCGGCCCACGGCGGCAAAATTAGGGGGCGGCAAATTTTGCAATTTTTTTAAATGCAGGTACAAAAAAATCGGATTCAGAAAAAAATTACAAACAAGAAAAGGTGACAAAATCTCTTATTTTCTGAGAGTTCATTAATTTCTAATTTTGTCGTATTTTTGTGATACAAAAGACTGCGCATTAGTTGAGTTAAGAGAGAAACCAAACACGTAATTTGGCCTGGAGCGGCGCGGCGCAAAGAGAAATGATGACAAGGACTTGAGATGAAAAGGAGAAGTCCTCGACGCGGCGGTCGGCATGTAACACATTATAGCGCCTACAAGACTGCATGAATACTTCACGCATTGCGTCAAACACAGTACGGTCAATAGCGGTCGGCGCGGCGTGAAACGCACACGCACAGTGCCTACAAGACTACATGAATACTTCACGCATTGCGCCAACACAGTGCGGTCGGCGCGGCGCGGCGGTGGAAGTTAAAATTTTTAATCACATTTATGTTTGTTCTCTCTTAATTTTTCAGTTCATTTCTTACAAATGAAAGGCCTTTTCTCCACAAAGATAGGTTTACGGAACTGAACTTTCGCGCGAAGCTCCGTGAACTTTTGCTAGTAGTGTTGACAGGGCTTACGCAAAAAATGTGTCCAACTGGAGTGAACGCGTCTTATGCACCCTTCTCCCTCCGGCACGTTCACTTGATAGTTTTTATTGATGTTTCAAAATTAATGAGAAGAGGGCGGCAAAATACAGGCGGCCCATGGGCGGCAAGTAGGTAAATCCGGTCATGCGGCGTTCTTCCTAAGCACGGCAGTATTGGCCTATACTTTTATTTGTGTTGTCACGAATGGGGGTCTATGGTTCTTGATTTTCATAATCTTATATATCGACGGTGAAAGTCGGCGATCACATAACTCGGTTTGCGACGTCGCAGACTTCCTGTCATACTTTATTTTTTAAACGGAAAACTACTCAACGGTAATTCTTTAAAACTGCCGTGATTTTTCTTCTATGTGCGAGGAAAATTCTGCAAAAACTTCAAGGAATCATGTCCATTTGTTCTCCTTTAAAAAAATAACATAGTTGCGGAGATTTTTAGACATCGCAAACGAGTTATGTGATTGCCGACTTGCACCGTCGATATTTTTTGGTTTCCTAGTCGAGGGAGAGGTTGAAACCACCCCGAAACGTCCTAGGCCTAGTGTTTATTGTTTCCAGCCTTGATTATCCATTTTCTTGTGTTTTTAATATCGATGTTTTCTTCACAATGATGAATTTGAATGTTCTAGATGACGAAGAGCCTGTCCCCCCACTCGGCTGACAACGATGTCAGCCCGGAGTCTCCTCAGCCGCGCGAGACGATGGCGTCGGTGTTGCAGGCGACCCTGGGCGTCCCTGAGGAAACGAAGCGGAGGGTGAGCATATCCCTGGACGCCATCCAAGCCGACGAGCAGAAGCACGGGGATCACAGCAGCCCCAACTCCATGCACAGCCGATACCAGTACACAAATCCCTCCTTCACGTCCTCCGAGGGCGGAATCAACGGATCTGGACCGCCTGGTGCTTTCCACAAACGACCTTCATGGGCAGGTACGACCTTATTTTTATAGAGTATCTCTAACGTAACCCCATATCGACGGTGAAACTACCAAACCACGTATCTCGTTTGCGGTATTTAAAAATTTACGCTCACATTTTATTTCTTTGAAGTAGACCAAATCAATATCATTCTTTGAAATTTTCAGGGAATTTTCTCCGCACAAAGAGGAAAAATCACAGAAATTTTCAAGACTGTACGTTAAGTAGTTTTTCATTTAAAAAATAAAGTATGACAGGAAGTTTGCGACGTCGCAAACCGAGATACGTGGTTTGGTAGTTTCACCGTCGATATGAATCGAGATACGTGAAAAGGGCGGAAGTCCAAAAAGTTAATTTTTCAGGAGAAGCAAAAAACTTCCTGTAGGACAAACAATTCGAAAAAAAAAGAAAAGAAAAACATTTCTTATTGCGGAAGGCTTGTCCCGATTGTACCAATAAGAATTGAATCTCCTAAAAAAAATTTTGAACCTGCTTCTTTGGGAATTTTTTAGTTTCGATTTAGACTCCCGCCCTTTTCGCAACTGGGGAAAATGGGGTGCATTCGGAAGAAAATTTTACTAGGAAATCAATGAAACCACTTTTAAAAGCTTAAAGTTCTGTATGAACGGAGTTACGAGCTTTTAAAGTTTCCAGATGTTGTCCGACCTTTTCCATTACCTCGACCCATTGTGCTCCGGTACGGTCGCCATATTCCTCGTAAGTACATAAAATGACGAGAAAACATTTATAGTAATGCTAATTTTCCCAAGCTATCTGCTGCTCCATTTTTCAATGAGCAACAACTCTAATTTTGGATGAGAGATAACCGATACGTATCTTTAACAAGGTGTCAGACTGACAATGAATTTCAGGTGTCAAATGAAGTGCGTTCCATTCATTATTTGATAATCATCTACGGGTGAAGACAGCTCGTGTGGTCGCGATGATTGCGAGAGAAGCCCTAGCGAGTAGGCCTCACTTGTACACCTTCTTGAGGAAACTACAGATGAATTCATGATTGCGGAATGTACATACTCACGCTAAGAAAATGAGTTATACATCTAATTCATTGGCGGATCCAGCAAATTGGCAACATTGTATTTTCTCCATTTAAACCTATGGAAATGTATCGAATTATGGAGGGGCCAGGTGCTCCGACAAGAATCGATTATTTAGATATGTTTAAATGGAGCAAATTCGGTGTTGCCAAATTGCTGGATCCGCCTCTGGCTGGGATGAATAATCCGTTCGAACAATCCAAACTATGGTATATCAACGCTAATCGTGTTAAGGAGCACTATTTGAAGCAAAACCGGTATTGTCGTGGATGTGTCTCTCCCCGCTCCGAGGGCTGTACTATGAGATAATGCACCCTAAAAAAATTAATATTTCAGACGACGCGTTTTGTAATTTACGATTACATAAGGAATTTCAAATCATTGCAAATTAAGAAAAAAAAAATGAAATTATTATACATTATGAAATCGATAGCCAATTAAAGTGCGGAACCACGTATATCTACGCTAACGCTTTGTGATGCTGCAGACTTCCTGTAATACTTTATTTTTTCTTTGAAAAACTAGGCAATTTAATTTCTTGAAAACTTCCTTGATTCTCTACTCTATTAGCAGAATAATCTGTAATTTCAAGCTAAACTTATAGTCGACTTGTTCCTCCTCGAAAAAATAAAACAGTTATAGGAACGCTGTAACATAGATACGTGGTTTCACACGTTAGCCAACGATATACAAAATTATATATATTATTATTATAAAATAATTATCTCAAAACTGTTTGGGAGGCGTTTTAAATATGTTATTCTAACAATAATTGTTACTTTTCCAGACTTAGGTAAAAGTTGTATGCACAACTCAAGCAGAAAGTCATATTCTCTAGATGATACAGACAATGAAAAACAAGAAGAGTAAGTTGAACCTTTACCTACAATCATTTTTTCAGGTTCTATCATTGCGTATAAAAAGATCGAACTTTTAAATTAAGCTTAAATGTTGACCAAGTCATCTCGAGGCTTCTAGAATAATACAAGAACACGAGTAAGTGGAAGTGAAGGGGAAATGTCAACTTCTCACACAAGATCTCTTGAAGCGACATTTCGTATTTTTTGTGACCTCATATTCACCGACGTATGATCGATAAAAAGTAAAGGCTGAGTTTGAGGAAAGCAGTCGAGACACTTGATCGAATTAAAAATTTGAGGATCGAGTCAAATAAGATTCAATTTATTGACATTTGATAACTTATTGGGAAGCTGAAGGAAACCTGTGGTCTTCGTCATTAATAAATTCTACGTAAACAAACCTAATCCAAGTTAGAATATGTCGATTCCCTGCAACTATATATAGTCATTATCAATCGATACGCTTCGTTGAACTTTTGAAGTCATGTGGTTGTGCTCTCTCCGACAGCTACCGATCACCACGCAACACCACCAAGCATTATTGACAGAAGCAGGATAGAGGAAACAAATTCCAATACTAATACTGACTTCATCATGATTCGTGGATGCTATAATTAGAGAAGCACAGACCAGCATAATTTTCCTGTCGTCTCTTCTTCTCAATCAAAAGCTTTTATTTCTTCTCTAGCAAAAAAAAGAGTGGCGGTGTCTGAATTTTCCCAAAACCCCACGCAACCAGTAAATTGGCCCTGAAAAGTCCTTTTTCGTGATTTTCAGGAAAATTGTACATCTAAACCTTCAACCCCCCTCCCCCATTAGAAATGTTTGATCATAGACCCAAGACCCAATGATGATGGATAAATGTAGAAACAAGTAGTCGAAGAATTTAAACACCAAAATTTAGAAACACTCAATAATAGGATTAAGAAGACGGGGAACCAATTAAGCCTAAAATTTAAAAAAAAACCTGTGTGGATCATGCATTTCGAAAAGTCTAGAAATCACTAGATCTAAAAAACCTAAGATCATATAGATAGAAAAATGCAGGATGAATAACTAGTCTGATATTATCATTTATATCGTTATTATTAACAGAAAATTCAGTTTCGGACCCTGCGTTTCCACTTGGGACACATCCAGTGTTCGAAACTCACATTTGAGTTTCAAGAGCCATGTGGCACATCAAGCCCGATTTTTAGGCGCCATTGAAGATTTTTTGGGGGCCAAATTGACTATTTGCCTATATATTACGGCGCATTTAGTGAAAATATAGACGCAAGATGTTTCTGTAACAGAACTTGTAAGTAGTTGTAACTTGGGGAAGACAAAAGCACAAATGATGAAATCGTGAAGAATAGAAAAAGCTTTCACTTGTGGTGCTGAAAATTTCGAATAATCACCTAATATGAAAATTCAGAATTTTAGGGGGCAATTTGTAGGGACCACGTTGGCGCAGAGCCTTCATTTTTTAGGCGAATTTGGCACGATGGCGCCATGTGAGTGTCGAACACTGGGCAGATCCCATGAAACGGCCCGCGGACAGTGGAGACAAGGCCCAAAATAATCCTGTTTTTAAACACTCGTTCACTATGGTTTTCTGGTTTTGCTCGCAGCTCTTGTTGGTTTTGGTTCTGCCTGAAATGTCGACAGAAAGAGGTTGGCCCGGGTTGGGAACCATGGTTCTGGACGAGCGTCTGCCCGCACCCCTTCTGCCCGTCATACAGGCACGTAGCGCGGGTGGTATCACACTTCATCCTCGGCTTCTTGCTGTGGGGCATCCTGTACACGCTGATGGGCCACGACGTGGCGCCAGGCGGGCAGCTCTTCAACATCGCCCTCCTCTGTATATCGGCCAATTTCGGGGGGTGGGTCTTCCGAATGCTCACCATACCCCCTCTTGTCGGAATGCTCCTCGTCGGTATGCTCTACCAGAATATCGGACTCATCGATATACACCCTCCATACGTCAAAGTTGTGGCCACTTTCAGGTGAGTGAGACAATTCGGATATTTACCATGAAATATATAATTATGTACCATTATTCTCTGAAATGTCACTTTCTCTCTGTTTTCCTTTTGAGATGATTCGACTGACGCCATTTTTTTGTGTCAGAGCGACGTGCGATATATCGCGTCGATTACTTCCATAATTTCAGCTACTTGTCATTTGTTTCGAATTTTGAGATCGAGAGTCTGTTGTCATGAGACTGAGGAACTCATGTACCGAATTTGACAAAGAAATTCAACGTGATAAAGGCGTGGTTTTTTTTAGAGGAAAAATATAGCATTCGAGTGTAGTTTCGATATCAGTATCGGATGCGATATGTTTCCTCTAAAAATACCACGCCTTTATTACGTTGAATTTATTTGTCAAAGGTAAATAAGTTCTTCAGTCTCGTGACAGCAAAATTGCGATCATAAAATTCGAAACAAATGACAAGTAGCTGAAATTATGAAACTAATCGATACGATATATCGCACGTCGCTCTGACACAACTGCAACAACGCACAACACTGTTGACCACACTGTTTGGCGCAATGCGTGAAGTATTCATGCAGTCTTGTAGGCGCTATGCGTTTCATGCTGACCGCCGCGCCGCTCCGTTCCAGGTCAAATTGCGTGTTTGGTTTCTCTCTTAACTCGACTAATTGAAGGTGTTGTCTCTTGTATCATCGAGAGACGTCAAAATTATAAATTACTATACTTTTTCTCTGAGAAAATGAGAGATTTTTTCGTCTTTTCTCGTTTGTAATTTATTTTCTGAATCCGATTTTTTTCTCTCTCTTTTTTTGATACCAACATTCAAAAAGATTGCAAAATTTTCCGCCCCCTACATTTTGCTGCCATGGGCCGCAGCCCATGTAATCCGGCCCTGTTCTTATGGGAAAACAGTTATAAAAAAGAGTTATAGTAAGAAAAGTCTCTTGTTTTTGCAGGAAAATTGCGCTAGTGGTACTATTAACTCGGGCAGGACTGGATTTGGACCCATCGGTGATGCATAAACTATGCGGAACGATATTGAGGATAGGTCTCGTACCGTGGATTGTGGAGGCAGCTTGCGTCTCTTGCGGTGCTTACTGGATCTTTGGCATGCCCTGGCTCTGGGCCACTCTTTTTGGGTAGGTAAGTCAACAGAACCGATTTCTTTTTCATCGGCATTACGTCCTTCTGAATGTAAGAAAGGCTAGTGCGCCTTCATTCAATCGTATCGGCAACACGAATAGCCGTTGAGTGCGAATAGTTATTGTATCCAGGCGTTTCCATCGACGCAAAGTGAATTGAGAAACATAAAAATGTGTGGTTTCAGTTAAAAAATTTATGTCCGACCTCTCTGCTTGACTCGATCCACTGTGCGGCGCCGCGTTTACGCTGCATTTTGTCAACTCAGAGAGAGTGTTCGGAAACAAGTAAAAACTCTCACTGTTGTTCTTGACACTGGGTAGATAGTGTTCAATGAAATTTAATGCGCAAAAAGTGGACAGCTGTGATTTAGGCGTATTTTTACCAGAGGAAACTAAGTGAAAATTAATTGAATCAAAAGGAGCCGCGAACTTAAGATTTGCGTGATTCATAGTTCATTTTGGTCCAATCCTTTCTAGCATTGATGCGCCCATTTCACCAAAAAGCTATTGGTAAATCTATAAAATCAAATATTGAATATGTGCTTTCTGTCAGATATATGCCCATAAATTGTGACTCAAGTACTCATATTACGTCAATTTAAATAGGAATGTCCGAATTTATAGAGGAATTTTCAATGCAAATTACCGTGTAGCGTGAAATTGGAAACCCCTTTCGTCTTCAAGAATGTTTTCATTTAATTTAAGAAAAATCGAACTTAAGGATTCACAATTATTCTAGTTGAAAAAGTTTTACCTCTTGGCATTGCCCAAGTGACTGCTGTAGCGGGTAATTCAGCATTTTATAAGTTCATAACATTGTTCTTCTCCATTTAAACCCATGGAAATGTGTCGATTCTTGGAGAGGCCAGGTGCTCCGACAAGAATCGATTATTTAAGACAGGTTTAAATGGAGGGAGTCCGGTGTTGGCAAATTGCTGGATCCGCCTTTGAATAATGCGTTTCTGCAGGTTCATTGTCGAAGTTCGTTTATAGCTAAACACATTTGGCAACTCCGCTCAGGTTGGCAAAATTTCATGAAAAATAAAATATTGAAATTTTATGTGACCATGAAATTCCAGACATTTATGAAAGATACTGAAAAATACCGGTTCCTCTCCATGTTTTGCAAAATTTAAAAATTGGGACTTTCTTCTATTTTGTGGGTTTAAGTGCGGGTTGCATACTCTAGCCCCTGAAAAAAATGAAATATTTCACAGCCTCGTGAAATTTCATGAAATATTTCACTGAAATTTCAAATCTTTCATTTCTTTCTTACATTCCATGCAATCCTGACTCCGCTCATTTCGAAATATAACTTTAACGATGAAAACGCAATTCTGGAAGAAGAGCAACTTGAATAACAAATTAAAACATATTATTCTTTCTCGTCACTGCCATAAATATGTGTAAATCCGTTGAAATATCCTGATTTTCAAGTTGAGCCCTCATGTTGCAGATCCGTTGTTGCGGCAGTCTCTCCGGCGGTCGTTGTACCGGCGCTACTCAAGCTGCGGGGCAAAGGGTACGGCATAGCCAAAGGGATTCCTACATTGATAATCGCTGTTTCCGGGATTGACGATGCAGCATCCGTTGTTGCTTTTGGAATCCTCTACAATGCCATATTCTCTGAAGGTAAGTTCTACGCCAAACTCTCTGCTCCCGTGTTGCCGAGTCGCGAAATTTCGCCAATCATATTGTCCATTTTTATTCTATTCTTCATTTTGTGCATGGGAGTCCCATCATTAGCCGTAAGAATAAACAATTTGCTCTTTATAAAAGAAAAATACACACTAACTCGAGTAGCATTTTTCGACGGAATAATCACAATATTTTGCAATTAAGTGGCGATTTTTTTACGATTTTTTGGCGATGAAATCGCTAGGATCATCAAAATCTGAGCGATTGTCCTCGATCTTGTCGCAATTTTAACTGAAACACTTGTTCAACTTTTTTTTATCTTAAACTCGTTTGATGAAATCGAAATTTTATCTCAGTTGATCACGATTTTTGTTCGATAATATTGCGATAATTCCCGTCGATAACATTGCGAATTTATTGCAAATTTATGCGATGAAATCGTAATTTACCGCAATTTTTAAACGAATAATATCACGATAAATCGATGTCGGTATAATCGCGATACATTCTCCAATTAGGTAAATCGGACTTTATCGCAATTACAACTATTTGGGAAGGGTGTTTCATTAAGAATGAAAGAAGGCGGTGTCCGTTCTTCATAATTTATGAAAGTAAGAGAAGAAACAATTTAAGATTTAATTGAAGAGAGTCAAAACTGGGTGGGAAAATAATCGCCAATTTCAAATTACTTACTATATAGAACGGAAAAATGGACGTAGTCGAGCGAAATTTATTGCTTACCATCTTTGTTGATCTTTGTAATATTTATTCTCATTGTTCTCTCTAAAATTTTGCTCTTTTTCCCACTTTTAGAAGTGGTCGTAATGTCGTTGGTTACACCCACTCTCAAATTATGTAAAAAAAAGTTTTAAAATCCTCAGCCAATCAGAGCTTCCCCTTGCAACTTTACTGTCTGCTTGAGCTATCCACATCACCAGACCACTAGACCCGTACGAGTAACTAAATAAGAAAACCTAATCTCTCCAAAAAAATTTTGTCGGAGACGAGTTTTCATGTGCAAACCAACGCAAGTATATCACTTCGTCCATCACCGTTTGCCCGGTTAAACCGGAAACAACTAGTTATTTAGATGATTTTTAGCTAGGTTTTAAACTGTCAAATTGCCCTTACTTGCGAGTGATTACAACTAAGAATATTTAGGTCCGGCGGGTCACCCAACCGAAAACTTTGAGAGAAAAAAACGAACAAACCTAAAATAGATGTTTGGGAATGGCTCGTCGTATGTTTTCACCTCGACAAACATAGACACACCTTCTGCAGTTTCACGCAATGAAAAAGCTAATGGAAGGGAGTAACAGCTCAGGGAAGAGTCGAGCGAGAATAGAGGGGAGGGGGGTCTCAAAAGGTTTTTTCTTTCGACTTTATTTTCAATCTATCGGTTGAACTTTCATCGAAAAGTCACCCAAGACCTTACGCCCGTTTTTAAGATGCGTGGTTTATTTGGCAAGTTTAAAATTCTCTAATTATTAATAAATTGTAACAAGCATCATTTCCAATGTTTTAATTGAATGAAAGAGGTAGAACAAAAATGTCGGTCAATGTCATCGATTTTTTTCTCGATACCGGACACTCCCTCTCCTCCCATTCATATCGATTGATTCACGCAATTTGATAATCGCCAAAAATCTGGCACCTCAGCAACCTCACTTCCGGTCATCGATTTGCCATTCAATTAACGGAAGTGAACTGATCGTGACTGAAATTGTTTCGCTGGTATTAAAGCGTTGAGCAGAAGTGGACAGTAAAATGAACTGTATCTCCGGTCATTACTTCATTACGGTACGGTTTTAATGGTTGACACTGAGATGCAGGTCCCTCTGTTCATTGACACACGGACTTTTGACAGGAGCAGGTGTGAAGGTCATTGACGGGGGGAGGGTTCTCCAAGGGGGACGGAGCTTGCGGACAGGGTCAACAGTAGTTGAACATTCCCCACGCGATGAACTTTTTTTGCAAGCATCTAATTGACTTGCTTATGGCTTTGTCTGAGAGACGTCATAAGTTGCAGCTGATTTAGAATCTAGGGGGCAACGTAACGCCACGCGGCCGCCACGAAGCCCCCACCCCTCCCCCCAGGAAACAAGTGCGCCCGTATGAGAGTTAATCTGAAAAGATTAGGCTTGTTTAGAGCCTAATGATCATCGACAGCCGCAAAAATCATGAAAATCGGCCCGGTAGATTTTTAGAAAGAACTGTGACAAGAAATGAAGAAATGGAAGAATTTACAACTTTGTCGAGTAATAATAATAAAAAAAAATCTGTGTCATATTTCCAAAATCTGAAAATAGCGGAAGCAGATAGGGACTATCGCCTGTCAGTAGTCGCAAAAATCATGTAAATCGGCACAGTAGAACAATAGAACGCACTGTGACAAAAAATGAAAATTTAGGGGACCCTAGAGCTTATGGTACCTAAACTTATATTCCAAAAGATGCATTTTAAATGTTGAAAGATTGGGAAATACACAAGACTAGACGTGTATTAATTTTTTTCCTCGTTTTTCTTTTCTTCAATTCTTTAGTGAATTACTCGCCCGGAGTGGACTCGGACTGAGCCTACCATTCTCTTCGATATTTAACTACTTGTTACTACAGTTCTTTACAAATTTCAACGTTTAATCAATTCACAAAAATTATTATGACCGGAAAATTTTAAAGTGGTGATTCGGCACGATTCAATGTCAGTCAAATTAAACTAAAATCGCAACGAGCATTTCAATGTGATGGAGACGGGAAAAAATAATTTCGCAAGTTTCATTATTAAGACCTCCCTTCAATTTATTTTAGACTCCAATTGCATTCTCTTGACAATCCTGTTACGTAACGCCAGTTCCCTTAGTTTGACTAACACCTTGACCTAGTCGCAAAAATGGGCTATAAATCTTGCGCAGTTTGTGAATATCATCATTAAAAAGTACAGGTCATGCCGGCGGCACTGGTGTAAATTTCAGATACGTCTCCCGGTGCCAAAGAAGCCTAATTAATTGTGCTCTAACCTCTCCTCAGCTGGTTGAACACTGTGTCCGTGCCTAGAATCTGAGGTCTTATTCTCATTGAAATTTCGTCGAACAAGAACATTACTCTCCTTGAGACGGTGTAATAAAATTAAATATTCTGGCCAGTTTTTGTGGTGCACAGCCATAGCGTCCCATTCCGACTCCAAATAGACAAGTGACCGCGCAAGTGGACGTGCATTCTTTTCCAAATACAACTCCAAGCCGCTTGCCAGATTTCATGTACTTCTGAACTTTTAGAGTAGAAAAACGATGCAGAGTTGGACCGCATTTAGCAGAAAGGAACCAAGCCACATCAGCTTTTGCCAAATTTAACCGGGCACTTTAATTTTTTGCAAGAGAATGTTTATGTGGGTTCCTTCGAAAATTTTGAGGAATTTGCTTCGTAATTAATATGCAGAAAATTCACTGAAATTTGCACAAAATTCGCGTAACCGTTTTCGTGTATAAAATTAAATTGCCCAATTGAATTTGGCAAAAGCTGACGTGGCTTAGTTCCTCTCTGCTTAACGTGGTCAAATTGATGGTTGATTTTATTGATATTGATTGAATTTATTTTATTCAAGGTAATGCCGTGGTGTATAAGGATAATTGAACTATCGGATGTAAAACGTAGAATAGAAAACATGAAATAAATTTAGAAGTCCTAAAAATCTAGTTAAACGCACAAAACAATACTTTTTGAATATACTAAATGGTTTCGAGTCTTCCTTGGGTATATAGAAATCGCCTTAATACTTTTTCTAATTTTCGGGGAGAGGTTCTGTCACGTCGATTCTCTGTTGTGACGTACAGATAAAATGTCCTCAGCTGAAAAAAAATAATGAATTCTGGTTAAAATATAAAAATAAAATTGACTCTTTAAGGAAAGAAGGAACCATTCCCCACAGAAATGGAAACTGTTGAAATTGAAAAAACTTTGAATTTATGACAAAAAAATTTCAAATTATTTCCATCTCAAGCATTTTTCTGAGATGTTGTGAGTATTGAAATATTAATTTCAACTCAAGTGGGGAGGGGGAGGGAGAAATTTGAAAAATAAAAATGTATAAATAAAAAATCTACACGATCTGATCATTTGAACAGAGAACTTGAAACATTGTTCTCTGAAGTTTCAACGCTTTCTTCACCAAACGCATTGTACTTTGCGATAATTCGATTTAATATTAAATTCACGACGTATAAATAAAGAAAAATCATCCAACTACGTATACCTAATGGATTTCCACGTAGCACAAATAATATGTAATACACGATTGTATTTAGTAACTTTATACTATAAACGTGAATGCTGGTCTTGATAACGCGTTGAAAAACCTCAAGTAGCCAAGAAAAATATTGATCAAAGGGAATTTTACTGGCCAAAACACTGTACATTTAAGGAAAATATAATCTATATTAAATTTTCTTACGCCGTTTTGGCCGTTCAAAAACATTCTCTTTGATCTACATCATGGGACTCATGATAAGTGCAAAAATGTTCAATTAAGAGAAATATTGTAACCCTGGTTCTATGACAGATCACGTGTGATGTACCCTGAGTCTACTAGGCCTACACGGCGCCCGGTATCTGTCTACACTCATTGATATTACAACTTCATCCTGGCCTCAACATATCAAGCACCTCCCTGGCCATCGTCATCGTCACTGACCCGTCAATGTATGATGGATCGACCTCCAGGCACGCGGCATTGCATTCCGTCCGTGCCTGGTCCTTCCGTCTAATTACCGATTATCCTCAAAATTGCCGGATATCGTGCCAAAAATCGTTCCTACTCCTTTGACTGCCAAACCAATGAAAATTACCTAAATCGGATGTGGACATTGAATTCAGAACTGCACCGATTGCTCACATGCACGTTCAGATTCTTTGAGGGTCGTTTGTAGCTGCTCCTTGGAAAATTGCTTTCCCTAAGGGGACCCCAAATCGTTTCCATTTTCAATTGTGATTAAGGAGGCCTTGTGACGTCTGCTTGTGGAGGCATCAACTTTTCGTCATCTTCTGGCCAAAGTATCACAAGCGCCACGCCACGTTTCAAAATTTCCACCGCCATTTTATCTATTTACAGAAAAATTGTCGGTTGAATCTGATTGAAAATTTCACTGAATTTTATCGGCAACTCAAAGAGAATTTAGGGAAATTTTCGGACGTCTTCGGTGAACTATCTTCCTGTAAAGAAATAAGATGGCGGCGGAAATTTTGAAACATCGCATGGGGACATGGGGGTAAAACATCGGATAAAGTGACCAACACAATGCAGGGGCGGTTCCAAAAGAATTTATAAGTCCGAAATAAATCTTTTAGTGCTCTCCTCGAACTTTTAGGGTCATTTTTCAGAACTTTAGCAGCGCAGTTGCTTTTTGTCTACCTACCATTTGTGTGCAATTTTTTTCCGAGGAATTTTGCTATTCCTTCGTGCAGTTGCGGTTACATCTTGTAGTTCATCATACTTAATCTTTTGCCTGAGCGGATTGTTTTTGTTTGTTGCATGGTTTTTTTTCGTTTTTTTGTTTTTTTCACCGTTTATTTCTATTCACAAAATTGACACTCTGTTGTCTAACCATATTGCAAATTTTAAGGAAGTCCAGGCAATCTCGCATTCACGCCGCACGCGTCACCGAAACCATTAAGCCATCAACTTAGTGTCCAACCGAACGATGACATACGAACAGTGTTTCAGGTATATTACTGAAATGCGACTTTTTAAAGAACGCGTATGGGAGATTGGACGTTTTACGGGCACGCTCTGACACCTGCGCATACCTCCTCATGATTACGCACTCGTATTTCATGACCAAGGAAATAAAGACGCAAGTGTATGTGCACTCACATAACTGTACCCGTGCGATTCTTTCGGTCATTTACTTCACGACAGCACGCTTAAAAAATCAGTAATCTCAAGTCTGAATGCAGTAAAAAAACATGCGGACTATTAGAACTCTCATTTTTCAAAACAAATATGATCATTTAGTGATTTGATGTCAAACATAGACAAATTTTATTAATTTTTATTGATTTTATTGATTATGAAACAAAAGCGGTTTAATATTGAATTTCTTTATTGCCTGAAGCCTTTTCGATCTGGTGGTCATCATCAGAGCAACATTTTCGTAACTTACGCAAACACAAAATGTACAACGACTTCTTTAAAAACAAACGAATTAATTACAATAAAAAATAATCAACTTAATCTTGTTCTTGTTTTAGAGTCCTTCACCTACACCCTTCTCGTTGGTCCCATGTCAATTATTGGAGGCATTGGCTTCGGGACAATGTGGGGTTTGCTTTCAAAGTACATTCCGGAAAAAGAGGATGTAAGTGGCAATCTATGATATTTTCTGCAAGATCAAAAACATGCATTTGTGGAATTTCTAGTAAAATTACGACGTTTTTATAAAATTTGCTGGCGGGGGTATAAAATAATGGTCAACAAACCAATGCGGTCCACAATGGAGATGTTGCAAATGTAAGGAATTTACGATTTGACTGTTGATTCTTGTGTAAAAGTTCGCTAGAAACACGATAGCGCCACTGGTTTTCTTTGAAATCAAGTCCCAAGCTCAAAAAAAAGCTCTCAAGTTGAGGCCAAAATGGTGGGGATATCCCACGCTATCCTGAGAGTCCACCTCTACATCAAGACAAACTCTCCATGCAAAGATAGGGAGCAAATACATTGACAGGGCTGCCACTTTATTTAGGGACTCTAAAACTGAAAATATGGCAACCCTGCTATAATGTATTTGCCCCCTATCTTTGCATGGAGAGTTTGTCGGGTGCAATACGAGGGAGAAGAGGAGTTTAAATATCGAAAAAAAAGCATTAAATAATTTATGAAAGGGCCTTTACCTGTCGAAAAAGTTGCGTGCTCACTTGTAACTTGCAAATGAATTAAGATGCAACTAACGGGGACAAAGTAGGGAAAGCGGAAATAGCTTGAAGTCTTCATTTTCGTCAGTCAGTAAAACGACCAGGCTAAAATGTGTTCGACCTCTGAATAATTGGACTATTTAAATTAAAATAAACTACATCCATTCTGGCGTGAGACCTGAGATCCATTAGAATTCACGTACATGCATGATATGGCTTGCTCAGGTGAAAATTGCTATGCAGTTTCAAAAAAAAAGCACATAGTTTGTTAACGATTTTTTCCCATGTTTTTATGAAGAAATCTCAATATCTTCTCGGGACATTCTTCTTATTTCATTCATGTAGATATTTTTTTTTTTACTCCTTTGAAAATGGAACTTTAGACAACAAGAAGTTTCCAATTTCCGTGTTATCAGGGTGATTTCATCAACCAATATTGTACAAGACCTGCCGACTTACGCTGAGTTTTGAATCAGCCAATAACGCACGTGGGAGACGTAAAACGTCAAAATGAAGAGTTGACTTCGGTACAAAGCGTCATTTCAATTGTTCTCACCGGCAGTTACAATCAGAGTAATCTAGAGTATCACGCTCAGCCATTCAGTTAAAAGCCACAGCGATAAAATCTCATGTTCCACATTCACTTGTTTCGAGTTTTTTGCATCAATATCCAACCGTGATCGCATGCAAACCAGCGCATTGCTGTCTCCGCTCACACGGAAATCTGCCTTTGTATCGGATTAGGTCTCATGATAAACCTCTTATCGAAGGATACAATAGATCCCTCCTAAATTATATGTTTTTCTGGTGCAAATATAGAATAACTGCTGCGTTTAAAGAAAGAGGGAGAGAAATTCGCAACCTCTGCACATGAGCCTCTCCGGAGATGAGGGTGAATGTCATTCAGGATGATCAATTCTAGTTTTTGCTACAGAACATTGTATGAAGGGTCTTTAATAAGATACGCACGCAAATAATTACTAGCATAATGGACCACTATGCCGTCTCTCCAAAGGCGAGGCGTGAATGATGGATTATCGATATTTCTCCATTTGAAGCTGTGGTAAAGAATCAATTATTGAGGTGTCCGCTGCGAACAACCTACTTATCGATCCTTTTTCATAGGTTTAAATGGCAGATCAATCGATATATCGCAAAGCACGCCACGCCACTGCGTCCCTCCCCAACGAAAGAACGTAACTATATTTCAATGTTGCCAAATTTCCCCTCTCAATTTTGCATTTTAAACTGGAGAATCATGGGCTTTTCGAACTGAAGATCTTACTGATTTTTCTTCCGATCTCATGCGAAAATCTGACAATTTTTTGAAAAAAATTGCAGAGGCACATTCTTGTAGAAGATTAAATTGTTTGAGTTAATTTTGCAATCTTGGAGTTACGTTCATTCGTCCAGAAAATGACGACTAGATAGCGTCTGAACTGGAATGCATCGTCACACTTTAGAAGTCCGCGTTTTTAATGTCAATTTTGACTTTTGAAATTCATTTCTAATCACACTCGTCCTAAGCTGTAGTTAAACTTAGGCTGATAAAAATTCATCATGCTGAAGAATGGTTATAGTTTTTTTGCTTGTAAAAGTTGGAAAAAGTGACTTCGTGCTATATCTGTACCTCACTTGTCGTAACATAAGTTTTAAAGAACTCGCTCTTCATATTTTGCAGCCGTACGTGGTGCCCATAAGGATTCTCACTTTGTTAGGTGGAGGGCTTATTGCTGTGTTCGGTAGTGAGTACCTCGGTATGGAGGGGGCTGGACCCCTCGGTGTCATCGCTGCAGCCTTTATGTGCAGCCTGTTCTGGTCCAAGCAAGGGTGGGAGGTTGGAGAGGTGAGTATTCTTTTCAAGTTTTAAATCCGGAAGATGAACACCCACGTACCACAGATTGCAATAAGTAGCAATTATGTAGTAAAAATATTGCAATTCCACTGTGTGTTGTGTATGTTGCCTAGCTCCTATTTGAAGGGGCACCGTTAATTGAAACTTATTGCAATAAAATTGAGATTGGTTGCAATTTTTCATCGCATTGAATATTGACTATCTCTCTTATGCATGGAGCTCATTTTATTGATTGTTTAAAATCGACATAAATCGACTAAATGGACTGCATTTTGCAATTAAGAACTACAAATTTCGGCCCGGTTTAAAAACAACGTATGTGCCATTAGTTTCCTTGTGCACATAAATGTTTTTTCAGATGAGTTAGAATTTTTATCTCCAAATTGCAAAATGCAGTCTAAATGATGTAAAAATATTGCAATTTAATGGTAATTAAGTTACTCTTTTATTGAAATCAAATTGCAATTTAATTTCAATATTTTTGTTGCACTGTGCTACTTGGGAAGGAAAGTTAAATACGCGTAAACTGTCTCTTTCTTGAGATATCCGAAACAAGATTCCAGTCAATACCATTTTGAAATTGATTGTTAGAAAGCTGAATTTATTTCTCATCTGAAAAGTGTGATATAGTCGCGGAAGAGATCGTGGAGTCATCCTGTTTGAATAACTTCTCCTCATTTTCAGAATCCAGTCTCAACCGCTTTCGAAATATTTTGGATGATTTTCGAACCCATTCTTTTCGGTTTGACCGGCACACAAATCAAAATCAATGAAATGAACCCTCAAGATACGACCATGCTGGGCGCTATTCTACTGGGCAGCATTGTTGTAAGTACATCGTTAGGCATTCCGAAAGATACCAAAGAAAATAATCATAGGTGTAGTAGAATGCAACGATATATTGCAAAACTGACGTGTCTATGCATGTGATTTCGTAAATATTTTATTACCTTACCCCAGATTTGCATAATCTCTTATGTCAAAATCTGTGTTATAAATACACGTCCCATAAAGAAAGAGCGACGCCAAAAACGACCGTTTTTTGGCACAATTTGGGCCAGAAGGGATTTTTCTGAAACCGGGCCCAAACGATACCTTACGATACCCTAAAACTCTGGTTAAAATTTTAGCTTGAGTATACGCACGGTTTTTGAGAAATGAGGGGGCAAAGTTGCCAAATCGCCATCATTCTGGACAGCATTTCTACAGCAAAAAGACGAGAAAAATGGACGAAAAAGTTACACCTTTGATGGGTCTCGGCTGTAAATGTTCTCATTGGGCCCCCAAGCATTAAACTGTGTTCAGTTTCAAAAATTTTGGTCGCACAGTGGTCCATAATGGGGAGAAATCGTCGACAAATCAGGATTCTTGGTCAAATTTTTAGAAATGGAGGTAAAATTGTCGGTCTGCTGCAGTTTTCATGGCTAACAATGTTCTTATCGGTCATCAATGCATGAAATTGTGTTCAGCTTCACAAATTCACATCGCACAGTGGTCAAAAATGGGGAATTTAGTGGACAAATTAAGATCCTCTGTCGAACTTTTTAAAAATGAAGTGAAACTGTTGGTCCCCAGTAGACTTTAGATCCCGGAAAAATTCTTTAAATTCTTTTTTAGACTATTTAAATATTTTTTTAATGTTTTCTCTCCATTTTTCCTCCTTTTTTTAAATTTCTGAAAGTTTGCATATTTTATTGAGATAATGCTACAAAGTCTATTCTATAACAATGTTCTATAAACAATACGGTCTGAAATGTAGTAATAATTTAAAAAATTAAAAACATGATTTTTCCGGGATCTAAAGTCTACTGGGGACCAACAGTTTCACTTCATTTTTAAAAAGTTCGACAGAGGATCTTAATTTGTCCACTAAATCCCCCATTTTTGACCACTGTGCGATGTGAATTTGTGAAGCTGAACACAATTTTATGCATTGATGACCGATAAGAACATTGTTAGCTATGAAAACTGCAGCAGACCGACAATTTTACTTTCATTTCTAAAAAATTGACCAAGAATCCTGATTTGTCGACGATTTCTCCCCATTTTGGACCACTGTGCGACCAAAATTTTTGAAACTGAACACAGTTTAATGCTTGGGGGCCCAATGAGAACATTTACAGCCGAAACCCATCAAAGGTGTAACTTTTTCGTCCATTTTTCTCGTCTTTTTGCTGTAGAAATGCTGTCCAGAATGATGGCGATTTGGCAACTTTGCCCCCTCATTTCTCAAAAACCGTGCGTATACTCAAGCTAAAATTTTAACCAGAGTTTTAGGGTATCGTAAGGTATCGTTTGGGCCCGGTTTCAGAAAAATCCCTTCTGGCCCAAATTGTGCCATTCTTGGCGTCGCTCTTTGTAAAAGATGTGCAAATAATGCACAATTCATTTTCAGCAAAATGACAAATTGACGGCTGAAGTTCAGAAAAAACCATTACTACTTCCGAAGTTATAAATAAATCCTATCCTTCAGCAATATTTGCAAGAAGCAATTGGAAGCACTCACTGCTTAAAAATTTAAGGAAAAAGTTTTCCTAGACAATGTTGAGAAAAGTCTCTGACGCTTTTAAGAAACAACTTAGATTAGTTTCCTCGTTGAAATAATGAATGGAAAGGAATTTGAATTATAGTGACTTTTGATACGTGCTTCAGATTTTTTCAATCAAAATATCTGTATATCTTACTGAAAAGTCCCAATGAAAAGTGTTCATCAAAAAGCGCCTTGCATTTAAGGAGATAACTATTCAAGCATGGTTGTTAAGGGGTTGCATACTCAAAATGTTGAAGGCGATTTTTGTTTCCAAGCCAATATCAATCCCTGATTAATCAACCTTTTTTTTTGTCCCGATCGTGCATTGCGTCCTACATTTTCTGCCAAGAATATAATGAAATATGTATCTTTTCCCCCATTTTCAGCTAGAGTCTAATACGCTGAGGAATTAAAATACGATTTGCATAATTTGAGAGTATGAAAAAGAGATAAAAGGAACTCACATCAAATTTTAAACAGAATCAGAGAATATTCAGGAAAAATAGTTAAATAACTGGTTTTGTCCGAATGCTCACTAAACAAAACTTTGTCGCGGTTGAGTAATATTTTAATGTATATTTGCCAATTGTGCGATTGGGATAGCCACTTTTGGAATGATGGACTATTATGAAAACCATTTGACACATTCTAGGTGTTTCATAACTTCGAGGCAGAGCGTCCAAAATGTGAAACTGACTAAATTTACAGGAAAAAAATTACCAATCAGTCATTAAATGTTTATTTTTTCCCTTTAGGCAAGAATGTTGATCACCCTGATCGTCTGCATTGGAGCAAAACTGAATACAAAAGAGAAAATTTTTACCGGATTTGCTTGTATGACCAAAGCCTCGGTGCAGGTATTTCCATTTGGTTATTTCTGAAGCACTTAAGTACACAGTATGGGATGAAGAAGTTTTGGAAGCAAGAAACATTTTTTTAAACAGTTTTATCTTATTTTAGCTTCTGACCAACACCAGGAAAATAGTTGTCAAAACAGTGGGCAATAGTTACATTGTGTCAGATTTGCAGTCACATTCACACCATAATCTTTCGATACATTCTGACTGATAACTGCTTGATTACCTATTGAAAAAAAACCGTGAGAAGGAATCTTGCATAAAGATAGTTTCATTCAACATTTATGACAGAGAATAGCTTTGTCTGTTGAAAGAAATTAGTAGAAATTTACATGAGTACATTAATGTAATCACAGAGACAAACAATTCTACGAGGAATGAGGTGTTTTTTGTGCCCAATATATTTCATTTCAGATGAACTCGAGGTTTTTTTTCTTTTTTCAACATTTATATGAACTGACGTTCGGTAGGAAAAAAAAATACTACCAAACTTCTACAGAGTAGAATTAATTTTACAAAAATAGAGCAAGTCTTCTATTATTATCACTGACTCCTGGGGTACATTTTTTCAGCCAGCTGGCCGGCCAACCAACCAACCAAAGTACTGATTAAACCTCTTGCTCCCTTAAAAAAAAATATAAAAAAAAAAATAAACAACAACAACAACAAATCAATTTTTCTACTTCTGTTAAACGTTGCTCGTATGGGAGTCAACATGAAACGAATATTACATAAGGAAAATTGAGTATAGAAAGTTTTCCAGTTTTTTTCTCTCTTCCTCTTTTGGGAGGAGAGAGGACATGAGTTGAGAGTAGTTTTGAACTCAATCAGTCGTTCATTTTCTCTGTAATAAATTCGAAGTCGATCTTTATTATGGAGTGTTATGAGGTCAAAAAAGTCTTTATTAATTTATTTTAGTTCCAATTTGCTACTTCGTAAATTAAAGGCACCCAGAAAGTTCAACACATTCATGGATGAGTCCTGAAAAACAATAAAAACACATTCAAATACACAAAAAAATGGGTATACAAGGCTAAGGAAAAATAAAACAAACCAGGACGTTTTGGGCCAGTTACATGCCCATTCTCAACTAGAAAAAAAGCTAAAAATGTAAAAATCAAAACAAGAAAATGAGCATGCAACTAATCGAGGTAGGAATCAGTGCAAACAGAAAAACAGAGCAAAAACTGATTCCTACCTAGGTCAGTTGCATGCTCATTTTCTTTGTTTTAATTTTTACATTTTTAGCTTTTTTCCAGTTGAAAATGGGCATGTAACTGGCCTGAAACGTCCTGGTTTGTTTTATTTCTCCTTGGCCTTGTATAATGTATACCCATTTGTTTTTGCACTGGAAAAAAAAAAACACATTGGATCTGGAGTCCAGACTCTTGAAAACATTGACAAGAAAAAATACTCTTGATTCAATCAGATTTAAGCTTAAATCAAAAGGAAATCCGCTCAAATTAAGAGGCTTGGTTCTTGATTTAAGCAAAAATCCGATTGAATCAAGAGTATTTTTTCTTGTCGATGTTTTTAAGAGTCTGGACTCTAGATCCAATGTGTTTTTCTTTTCAGTGTGTATTTTAATGTGTGTTTATTGTTGTCTGCATTCAGGCTATTGTGTCTCATCTCTCTCTTGTCCTGAAAATCCTGGGTTTGCTTTCAGGCGGCGCTGGCTCCCGTGGCATTGGAAACAGTGCGGAAAATGCAGGGGTCAGACATGGAGGTGGAGTTCGCCCGGACGATGTCCCTAGGGTGTATCCTCTCGATCCTGATGACAGCACCGCTAGGGGCGCTCATCCTGGCCATGACCGGGACGCGATTGCTGACCAAGACGAAGGCATCTCCGGCGCCGCCGCAGGGATGGCGTCGCGGCGCTCGCCCCTCCCTCCGTGACATCACCATCACCGACGAGCCAATGGATGAAGAGGACCCTGAGCCAGGGCCCGACTCCGAGCGCAAAGAAGAATCCAGCTGAGGTCACGGCTGAAACCGCATGGACCATGCGGTCAGCCATTGATCCCAAGAGAACACTGAAAAATTGGATCAAAAAAGGGATTTTCTTTATTTATCGAAGAACTTTGTCTTTGAATTGAATTCAATTTGTTCCGCTCAATTTTTTCTAATTAAAAAAAAAAAGTTACTCAAAGAAATAAAAATCCAATCACTGGAAAAAAAGCCGCTTGGATCTAGAGTCCAGACTCTTGAAACCAATGACAAGAAAAAATAATCTTGATTCAAACGGAGTTTTGCTTGAATCAAAAGGATATCCGCTTAAATCAGGAGGCTTGGTTCTCGATCCAAGCAAAAATCCGATTGAATCAAGAGTATTTTTTCTTTTCAATGTTTTTATTACTGGACTCTAGATCCAAGCTACTTTTTTTTCCAGTGTTAATGATACAATTGTTTCTGTTTTTCAATGCGAATGAGGGTTTTCTTATCAATTCAAAGAAATCTATAACTTCTCAATGGACCAGCGGACTGGTTGTTGAAATTGATAGGCAAAGAGGACATAGGGAGAAAGGAAGCGATCCTACTGATTAAAATGGGTGCGGTTCCTATATATTAAGGGTGTAATGATGGGCTAACTATCGGGTTTCTCATGGGTTGCCGTTAGTTACTCCATTAGGTACATCCTTTGTCCACTGCAACCATCCGTTTCCACCACATTTTTTTCGCCTTCTTTGTCTATGGCTTTGTCTATTTTCAACAATCAGCCAGCAGTAGACAAGGCACGAATTTGAGCATTCTGATTCGTGTTTTCTGACAAAAATCTCATTAAGAACACGATTCGTTCAACGATAATCACTGAACTAACTCTTAACTAAGATATTTAATGTTTCTTGTCGCGTTTTAAATCTCTCGCTAATGAGAAAAAAGTCTACATGAGTCATATTGCGCACTCAATGTTGGCGTAGCGGTCTTCACGGTATTAAAATATGGCGACCTCAATCTTGGTGCTTTGGCTCAGCTGATGCACGTTGAACGACACAAGCCCAAGAGGGAACATTGCTCGATTAAGAAACCTGACAAAACCGTTGTAATGCGCGATTTGATTTATTTAGACAATTTTTTCTTGTGAGCGGGAAATTCGAATTTCCCGTAACCAATGCAAAATTAAAACGTTGATATCTTGATTAGGAATTGATTTCGATACTTTTTGTTGCGCAAATCGTGTTCTACGTAAAATTCTGGTCAAGAAACGTGTATTAGAGTGCCTAAATTCGTACCTTGTCCACTGGTCCATTATCGACAGATTTAATTTTCTTGAATACCTAAAGAAACGGCTTCATTTGAATTGAAAGCAAAATTATCTCTTATAGTTAAAATGTTCATCATTTAATGTTTCTCTGAGAGAGGAAAAAACAATTTTTATTTAAATCAAAGACTTTTTTTCAGTACTCCACAAATTTGCTAACCAATTTTTCAGTGAAATAACCAATATAGAGGGCCTCACATTCGTTACTCGAGCTACTAAAACGGGCGGTGTAAAACCTTATTTTGGAGATTTGATATCTCTGAAGCAGTAACATCTTAACGAAATGATGACTTATTACAGCCAAGTCGAGTAGTTTGTGTACATAGTTTCTTAGAATGGTACTTGCTTGTAATTCAAATCGTTAGAGACGTCGCTAAAGTGAAAGAAAGGGGTGAGAATTCCCGGAAGTAACTTTTTACATTATGAAAAAACATAATACGAGGTATAATCTAGAATGTTTCGTCTCTTGGATGATCGAGATAATCCGTGCTGTGTTTCATACATTCAGGAAGCAATGAATTAGAAAAATGGAATCATAGTATCCTTAATTAGAAACTGCATTTTAAAGGATATGTTTTATTGTAGAAAAATTAAATCTATCATCGCCAAGTTTATATATTGTAAAAATTTGCAGGAGTTTTACGAACTCACTTTTTGACTCGCAGGGGCTTTTCTATTCACCTCAGAAAATGTTATTATTTCTACATATAGTTCAAAGCTTTGGTTACGACGAGTTCAGATGAAGGGGAGTGAGGCGGTTTTCCATAAAATTTTTAAGAAATTTGACTCTGTAACGACGACTTTGAATCCAGATATACGACAAAGTACCGTACAAAATCTTTCGCTACAAAAATTTTCATATCAAGCTCAAAATCATCTGCAACGATAATTTGTGGAAATCCGACCAGAGGAAAATTTTAAAAATATTTGGATGTACATTAAATTATTTTGAGGATACTACTTCCTTTCCTTCTTATTAATCTCATATTTTGGAGATATTTCTACAATGCCTTCCTTTCTGGCGCCACATAACTATGAGCGATCATTTTGGCCAGCCATGGGTTGTCACAGCCCCTATCACCCATTCCTTATAAGTAGAGGAGAGAGCATAATTAGGAATTAAATTTTTTACCAATTAAAATTGTTAGACACCGCCCGGATAGAAAAAAGGAAAAACAAATATCTCCTCATGTGCAGAATTCAGAATCCCAAATAATACAAATGATGCATATCTTGACTGGATCAAAAGTTTTCTCATCTATATAACCCCTTCTTTCTCCTTACGTTTTAGTTTATTTTTTTGCTTTCATGTTAACAATTTTAAAAACACCTGATGACTTTTTAATTAAATCGGCACCCTTTGTGCAAGAGTAAGCTCCAAGAATCGTATGAAGTCAAGGAAGCTGATTTTATGGTATATGACGTGTTGCAATGAAACATTGTCAAAATGTTTGCTGCGGGATGTAATAAATATGGGAGGAACCTTACATAAGTAATGCAAAAATGTCAATTTCAGGATTTATTTTGGCAGACACACAGCGCATAACATCAACTTTTGTCTTAGACCTACCTTCATTTCTTCTTGACCTTGTGAAAAATAGTATTTGTATTATAGTTTTGAGCTTATAATAGTTCTCAGTATTTCCGTGGTTCTTAGAGAACATAAAAATTGTAATGCTAGGGAAAATCTAGGCACCTTGCAAGGCATTTTGACCATACTTACACGTGAAACAGTGCTCAATCATGGAAATGATACATCACATGGGAAAAACCGGAACCGCTTACGAAATATTATATGTCTTTGGTAGGTGAAACGGAAAAGCAATTTGTAAATATAAATGTAAATTATTTTATAAATCAGTGTTATTACTCTTATCCATTCTTTGGAAAAAAAAACTACTTTATTATCATCCCCTTCACATCCCAGTATCCTCACCTGAAATTTTCACTGAAGAAGGGTGTCAAAAACCAAGTCATAATCAAAAGGAAGGAGGAGCGTCTTATGAAGGGGGGTGGGGAGGGGTAGTCCATAGGTGTATGAAGTTCCGAAAAACTACAGAAAATGATCCTTTCTTGCCATAGTTGTTGCAATTATGTTTATTCGCCGTCCTTCCGTACAAAAGAGAATGTAACACGAAGCTCACAAGCATACTTTTGACTTCATTTTAAAGCTTACAAGGCGTGACTTTCTTTATGATATGAGCGCATGTAACTCTTTTGAAATTGAGAATTGAAGCTCATATTTTTTTTACACCTCCATTTACAAATATTTACGATCAGTTCTTTTAAAAAGAATCAAAAAGGGTCTCTCAATTTTTTTGTATGATGTAAGTTAAAATTACAATTAAACTTGAAGGCCCAATAAAGTTAGAAGAACCTTTCCCTCAAACATGTCTTCCGCCATCAACAGGAGTGATAACTCCCGTTAAAAAAGACCCGTTTTCACTGGCAAGAAATGCGATGACCGCTGCGACCTCTTGGGCGGTACCTACACGTCCGAGGGGTTGAATTTTTTCCGCTTTTTGAAGAAACTCGGCATACGCAGCATCATCCATGCCAGCTCGTTTGTGGATCCCGGTCAAAATCACTCCCGGGCTGACAGAATTCACTCGCACACCTTTGTCCGCCAGTTCCAGAGCGAGACTGCGGGTGAACTGATCAATGGCCGCTTTGGAGGTACAGTAAGCGAGGAAACCAAGAGAGGGACGCAGACCGCTCACACTGGATACGTTAATAATTGAACCTTTGGTTCTGATCAAATGCGGCACTGCTAGCATGGTTAGATGGTACACTGACCTAACATTTGTGTTCAACACGCGATCATATTGTGCTAGGGAGGTGTTCTCTATCGAACCTAGCTCCGCAGTTGCCGCGTTGTTAACGAGGATATCTAAGCGTGTGTAGTGGTTTAAAACTGATTCGATGAGTGCTCTTGTCTCCTCTTCGTTTGTCAGATCACCGGTAATTACGAATGGGGACTCCCGGCTGATCGTTTTACAATCTGACGCCACTTGTTTAAGGTTAGAGAGATTCCTACCGGCTAAAGCTAAAGAAGCGTTAAATTGAGCGAAATGTTTGGCAGTGGCAGCTCCTATTCCTGAGCTAGCGCCGGTAATTAGGATCACTTTCCCCCGAAAGTTCATGTCTGATTGTCAATTTTACCCTGAAAAACAAAAAATTGATTTTCTAAAGGTGCCTTTTAAAAAAACAGCCCTTGTTATGAAAGTATCTTAATGGGTCAGTTGCGCGGGTCATAGAATCGTGTTTTGATGCTTGATTCTTGTAGGTGTGCTTAAAAAAATAAGATCCATCCGAACAGCAACTTTCTACGTTCAATATTACACGGAAAAGCGATATAGTGCTAAGCGATATAGTGCTGAGCACTAACTTTTTAGATCAAATGGAGCCAGCTAATATGGCAATACTGCTGAGACCTACAGTCTGTAGAGCTGGACCCTAAAGTTTTAGGACTCAGCGCAACTGTCATACTAGTCCCAACAGTAATGCCTAAACCGGGTAAAAAAAAAAAATCATAAAACCGGCTCTGGATTCATCACCCTATCACACCCGCACAATCTGGCATGACCCTTCAAATCACGATGAGTATCATCAAGCAAAATTTGCACTCATGGCTTCACAATTCGCGTTGGACTCCCTTTTCGCGGCCCAGCTCTAATGAGCTTTCTACCCCCGAGCAATATGAGTGTCCTCGGCTCGACTGGAGCATATTTAAAGCTGCTACATCTGTTTTTGGAATCCTTCTGTCAATCATCGTTCGGTATTACAAGTGATTCTCTTACCATCAGAGTGTGATGTGCCGAAGTTTTGAAATCTGAACCGTGCTTCGTGCACGGTGCCCCTGAACTCACTTTAAATGCGACTTTGTTGTACATCAAAAATTCAAGTTGGAGGTTGTAGTGGGGTACTCCCTGATGGGTTTTTGGGCAATTTCGAAATAGGTTGTCGGAGCTCCTCGAAAAATAATCGCATTTTTGTGGTTTTTTAGGGGTAAAATAGCAAAATTGGCCTC